ATTTAACTTTATAATGCTATAACTTATTGAAAAGTTTATGGATCCACACAATTTTTTTATGAGAAATAATATTTTTTAATAAACCCTTTTTCATTCGACATACTTTATCTTAATCGAGATATTAATAAGGAACCAGCAGATCAAGTAGCTTTTGGAATAAAACACCAATTTTTTTTAAATTAAACACTATCTAAAGATTTGCATCGAAGCGTTTATTTTTGATAGTGATTTTAATCACTGTCAGATATCATTATACATGATCCAACTATGCCACGTCACCACTGTGCCGCGACCTCCCTGTGCTGGGTTTTTTTTTGTTTCTATATGTAAAATTAGTGGTTTTACACCGATTTTTGATGTAATAAATATAGTTTAAAAAACTAAAAAAACACGCTTTTAAAGTACATCGAACTAAAAAGTTAAAAATAATTTTTAAAATAATTATGAACAAAAAATACTAGTATTATTGTGATAAAAGCGTCGGGCGCTCAATATACGAAAAATATGGCACAAAGCACCCACGCTTTTATCACAATAATACTAGTATTTTTTGTTCATAATTATTTTAAAAATTATTTTTAACTTTTTAGTTCGATGTACTTTAAAAGCGTGTTTTTTTAGTTTTTTAAACTATATTTATTTTTTACTTTTTAGTTTCATGTTATGATAGTAGTTACTATCAATATCATGGTTGTTACGGGTAACGGGAAATCAGGGTTCGATTCTGGGGAGGGAGTCTGAGAAACGGCTACCACATCCAAGGAAAGCAGCAGGCGCGTAAATTACTCACTCCCGGAACGTGGAGGTAGTGACGAAAAATGACGATACGGAAATCATCCCTCGTAATCGGAATGAATACTTTATATCTCTTAATTAGAATAAATCGTGTTAATATATTAATTTTAATAGTAATTAGAATATATATATTTATACAAATAATGCGACTTAACTACGTAAAAGTATCATGCACTAAGTATAGCTGTGTTTTATGGCCGGGCGGGTCGGACTAACGTTATACCCGAGGTATAAACGGCGGTAGGAATATATATATATATACGTAAGGCGCATTAGACGCGGGCGTTATTGGTCAGTCAAAATAAAAATTTGTTTACATATATATAATATTGATGACAAGCACGCGTGTACGGGTACGATAACTAAAAATAAATTTTTATAGGAATAGTGTACCGTCGTATTGTGAGCGAGGCGTGGGGAGGGGTGAATGCGTATAACAGTCTAGTCTAGACAACGGAATATGCGATAACGCGTGGCGTTTGGAGAGTTACAAACTTACAAACAAACAACAAACAACAAACAACAACAAACTACACGTGAAACTAATAAAAGCGTGTTAAAAATAGCATATTTCCTATTAAAACCCATCTAAAAATGAAATTTAAAATAAGAAAATATATGGTAAGTCCAATATATTTGATGTTTTGTAAGGGAAAACACGGTAAATCCAAATACTAAGCAAAAACTTAGTATATCACATGAAAAATAATGGAGTTACCGTGTATTGGCTTATGTTCATACATTGGTAAAAAAGGGTATGTACGTGACATAACTTCAGTCAAATTTTATAAATAAAAAATAATGATTATTTGATATATTATTTTGTCATTTACTTAACTGATATTGTTAAGAATATTATGGTCTCGACATGGTCATCACTCTATTAATCCTTATTATTTATTCACGATAATACATTGAATGTTTAGTTTAAAAATATTACAAAATAATTTATAAAAACTAAACGATTAAAATTAATTATGGATTTGGTGAAAGCATAGGCCACAAATCAAACAAACGAGCTAAATTTAATTGTAAGTTATATTTTTTCAAACTAACCATTTATATTTATTTAATAATTTAATATTATTGTCGTAAAATGTACATTATATCCAAATTTAAGAGAAAAAATAATTTATAATAACTCTTGTTAGGTATTTACTTTTTAATTTTATATATTTAAGAATATATTGTGTGATACAGAAGATAAATTAGAAAATGATAATAATTATAGTAAAATTATAAATTCAATAATTGTTGATAGCATTAAAAACCCTAGTTTAATTGACAGCTGCAACCAACATGAAACCATTGGTCCCAAGTCTTATACAAATCTTGAGGTAAGTCCATTATAAGATAAATAATTATTTCAAATGAATATATTATTTTTCCAATTAATTTATGATTAAATGTTACAAAAATTATGTATATTATATTCATTATACCCAATTAATACTTAGTTACTTTGTTACTTGTAGAATCTATGTCATGTACAAGATATGAAATATACACATACAAATAATTTGAATATAGAATTGTTAAATGATATTCAAAACACTGCCACTTTTGTTGAAAACCTTGATACTGAATTTGACTTTCAAGATAAAACTGATGCAGGTTTTAAACAGTATACAAATATTGAGGTAATAAAATTGATTAAATAACTGTAAAACCAATTTATATTTTAATTAATTTAAATTCAATTTTTAATAATTATTAGAGTTTCCAAGATAATATAGCTTTACCTTTAACAGTTGAGAATTATAATATTACTAATACTGACTATAATGAGATTTGTGTTGGAAATAATAATATTGAGAATTGTGATGGAAATTCTAATAGTGGTCAAAATTAAGGATCGATTAATTTCTCAAATGCAACAGTTTCTTCAGAATCAGACATTTTTGGAAATACTATGGTAAATATAATTTTTTACATAATTGTTAGTAAATAAAATAGGTAACTACTTATTTTAATTTGTTTATTTTAATATAGAACAATGAATATGATAGTGGAGTATCACACATTTCAGGTAGTGATATCCATGATGAAATAGGAACTGGTGTAACTAAAAAAGGAACAAAGAGGAAGCGCCGTCGTTATACAACTACTATTACTGAAAGGAACAATATGAAAATGCAATTAAAACGTGATAAGCATAAGCTACGGTCCCCCTGTTGTATAACTTGTAAAAAAAATTGTATACAACATATTCCTGAAAGTTTGAGGACCGAAATAAATATGCAGTACTGAACTCTTTCAAAAAAAGAACAATAGTTATTTGTTGTGAGCTCAATTGAAAGAAAATGTGTACAGCGTCGTAGAGGAGTAGTTAATAATGAAAAAAAAGGAATTGGTCATTTTCTTATTTATTGAAAAACTCAGATGGGTCATTTAAATATGTATGTAAGCAATTTTATTTAGCAACTTTGGGATTTTCCAAGAACAATGACTCTTTTATTCAAAAAATTTGTTCAAGCAGTGAAAATAATAGTTTTATAATTGTATCTCCATCAAATAATTCTAAACGAGAACCGTGGAACAAAATAGATGTAGAACCAATTAAGTCTCATATAAATTCATTCAATCCTTCAGTTGCACATTATAGAAGAGAGCATGCACCTTTAAAAAAATATTTGTCAAATGAAATTACAGTCACATCTATGTTGTCTGACTTTCAAGAAAAAAATCCTGATTTTAAGTGTTCATATGATATGTATAGGCAAGTATTAAAGAAAATGAATATATCATTTACAAAACTTGGACATGAAGAGTGTGAGTTATGTGAAACTTTCTTTCAACATGACCCAAATCATAATAGACATAATGCTCAAGAAAACAGTGACTGTGATGGATGTAAAAAATAGTCATTTCATTTTGAAATGTACACAAACGCCCGCATTAAATATGATGAACAATAAAAAAAAACCAAAAATGGTAAAGTAAAAAATTATACTTATTTGAATAATTATATTCTTGTATTAAAAATTATGAATTGTTTTATTAGGAGATGAATTGTATGTATCGGTCGACTTACAAAAAGTCATCATGTTACCAAGAATGGACAATTTCAAAGCTGCAATTTTCACAAAGAGGGTCATAGCATTTAATGAAAGATTTATTCCAGTCGGACCTAGAAGTTCAATTAAACTCTTGGCAGTAATATGGCATGAAGGAATAAGTGGTAGAAAACAAGAAGACTTGACAAGTTGTTACTATGCTTTTTTTTTATTTTACAAAAACATGAAAAAAATAACTATTTGGTTAGACAACTGTTCTGCTTAAAATAAGAATTAGTGCTTGTTTACATTTTTAATTTTTATGATTAATTCTCAAGAACTTGAAACTATGGTGATCGATATTTTCTATTTTCAACCAGGCCATAGTTTTATGTCTGCGGATTCATTCCACCATCAGGTTGAACTTTCCATGAAACAAATGGGTAAAATCTATGACTTTTGTGATTATGAAAAATCAATAAAGAATTCAAATAAAGGCCATGTTGATGTTAAAGTATTAGATGGCAAAGATTTTTTTGATTGGAAGTCAGAATGCTCTATTTATAAATTAAAAAAAAATATTAATCGTCCAATGTTGAATAGCTTAGTTCATATAAGAGCGGAAAGAGGACTCAAATACTTATTATATTCTTGTACATATGATGAGTATACTCCATTAAGAATGCTAGACTTTTTAAAACCTTCATATTTAAAAAATGATTTTGTAAGACCACAGCAAAAAAATGAATTAAGAGGCATTTAACCAGAAAAAAAACAAAGTATTATACAAACACTAGTCCCACTTATGCCTAAGAGCAGACATCAATTTTGGTTTGATTTTCCTACATCAGATTTAGTCAATGACTTATATGAAGAATCTGAAAATTAGAAACTGCTATATGAAATTGTATAATATGATAAATTGTGATAAAAACCNATAATAAAGTATATAATATACTTTATTATGTTATACTAATAACACTAGTTTACAAATAAAAAAAAATTTTCTGACCTATGACTTATGATAGTCATTTTTTATGTAAAATCGTCCACTGAGTCCGAAAATGAAGTCCAAAATACAAAAAGTAGAAGTTTTTGAGTTATTGCGAAATTAGCGTTTTTCGTGTACCGCGAAAAAACGTTTTCATTATATTCTAAATATCTTTAATTGCATTCAACCGATTTTCATTTTTTTTACATAAAATTAAACAATATTAAATTACTTATAATTTTTATCTTAAACAATTTTTTATTTGAATTAAAAAACTCTGATATTAGGAAATTTGTTTTATTTTTCAATCGCGCATAACTTCTTCATTTTTTTATCAATGTTACAAAATAATATATCATTTTCTTTGTTATGTATTAGAGTATAACGTCTATTAAAATTATTGTTGAAAAATTTATTTTTTATTGGTGTATTTTACGTAAAACTCTGAATTTTTTCTGACATTTTGAAAAAAATGATAAAAATTCAGTGGTAAATTCGTAGATAGCAAACGACAAAAAAGTCAAATAAAAAATTGTTTAAGATAAAAATTATAGGTAATTTAATATTGTTTAATTTTATGTAAAAAAAATGAAAATCGGTTGAATGCAATTAAAGATATTTAGAATATAATGAAAACGTTTTTTCGCGGTACACGAAAAACGCTAATTTCGCAATAACTCAAAAACTGCTCTACTTTTTGTATTTTGGACTTCATTTTCGGACTCAGTGGACGATTTTACATAAAAAATGACTATCATAAGTCATAGGTCAGAAAATTTTTTTTTATTTGTAAACTAGTGTTATTAATATATCATAATAAAGTATATTATATACTTTATTATGTTATCATAAATTTATATTTTGTTTTATTTTTAGCATTTTATACTAACTGTTATTTTATTATTTAAAATTTAATTTATTTTAATTGTTTTTAGTGATGACCAGTTAAAAGGTATACTGATTGTTTTATTTTGTTTTTTAAAAATTTAATAGGCTTTAAAGTAAAAGTCTAATTGTTTTGTAATAATTTTTTTATAATAAAAATTATTATTTGTTTGATAAAATTGGAGTTACACGTTTTTTTACATACGAATAATGTTGTATGATCATAGACTTAAATAAGTTATGTCCAAAAAAATCTAAGCAATAATCCGGTAAGTCAACTTTTATGGAGTTATCAATTTTTTGCTTAGTACTCCGATATTAATTTTATGATAAGTCCATTTTCTCCTTAAAAAACTCAAAAAAGTTGAAATAAAAAGTGTTCAACCAATTCTAGATGTAAAATTAGATACATTAGCACAAGGTTTGACCGATTTTTTGTAAAAACGCCATTTTTAGACTTGATTTACTGTTAAAAATGTTTTTTTGTGTTCCTGAAAAATCATGTTGACTGGAGTTATCCTTTTTTCGCTTATCACGGCAGTATAGTAGACTATTAAATCTAATAAATAGTACACATACTTATAAAATATAAAAATTATATACCTACTTAATTAGTAATAATAAATATATAATGAACTTTAAAAAAAATATATACAAAAATGAATGCATTTTGTATAATTAATAATTTATACCAAAGCTTGTGTAAATAAGTTAATTTAATAAGGCATTTCTGAAAGTGAATNGTTAATTTAATAAGGTATTTCTGAAAGTGAATGATTTAAAGTTGATATAACTGCTTGTTCATTAGATATACGAATAAAAAAACATTTGTATTTTATATCAGAAATATGAATTGACAAATTATTAGATAAATTATTAGTATTTATAGTATATAAGCCAAATATGCTAGATACAATAGGCTCAGTAAAAATTGGAGATGGATTTAAAAATTTTTGAACAATTAATATAAAAGATGATTCATTTTTTGGTTTAACAATGTGGTTAACCATAACAATGTCACTATTTTTTAGTATTATATATTTATCACGTTCATTGCATGTATTAATAATTACTTTTAGATCTTTTAAAATTATTTTTTCATATAATTTATCATCTAAACTAAGGTAAGGAGTAGATGTGTTAATCTCTTTAAAAGTGACAATAGGATCAAGAATTATACTACTGGATATTAAATGTTTTTGTTTTTCAATAACTCTATTAGTTACTTCTGAAAGAGGATATTTGACACATTTTAATGATTTTTTTATGTATTGTAAATAATTTTCAAATTTAAAGCAACTAAAATTATCAAGACAGCCATGAATTTTAACATACATAGGAAAATGTAATAAGCTATGAACATTATAAGTCACAGAATGAGCCCCATACAAAGAAGAGTACTGAGAAACAAATTCATTCAGTAAGTTTTGAGCTAAATCATTTGAAGTTTGACATATATCAGGAGATATCAAAATTCTTACTGCACATACCAAGAGTTTAAAATGAGAATACTTTATTTAAATTTCCTTTTAAAACTATTAATCCTGAATGTAGAACAAACATTCTTAATTCAGTAGCTTTATAGTATTCTATACTATCTAATTCTCTACGCAGACGACTAAATTCAGATGGTACGTACAATCGTAGATTCATCAAATTATTAGATATTTTAACTTTATTTTCCTCAGCTAATCTAATGTCCTTCTTACCTTTAACCCAAAACTCTAACAAACGTTTTGTTACACCCAGGCATGAATTTGTAGATCTTTATGTAAATTTATGTTTGATATATACCATGGAGATTTAGTTATAAGTCTGAGTGCTATTGATTGAAATGATTGTATTGGTTTGGCTGGACCCCAGATTTGGATACCATAAGACTAAACTGGGCGTATAATAGTTTTGTTTTGAAATAAGGAGAGGACGTAGAAGATGCAGTCTGTTTCTTGCACTTTTTCTTTTTCTTTTAGATAAGGGCCCCACGTCAGTCGTTTGTCAAACGTAATTCCTAAGTACTTGATCTCTTCTTTTATTGGTATAGGAATATTATTCATAATAATTTGAGGACATTCTAGTGGTTTAAAATTTAGAGTGAAGGTGATTTGAGCAGTTTTATATTCATTGATTTTTACTCGCCATTTTTTTGCCCACAAGTCAATGAGGTTGGCATGATATTGTAGTGAAAGACTGGCTGCGTTAGGATCACTATTAATCGATAATACTGCTGTATCGTCTGCGTATGTGGCTAAAATTGTTTTATTAGTTTGAAAGATATCGGCAGTGAATGCATTATAAATGTCTGGTGATAAATCACTTCCTTGAGGTACATCTCCATTTATTTTTTGGTATGATAAGAATTCATTTCTTTGGCGAACGTCAAAGTGTCTGTTTTCCAAATGAATCGGTCATTTCGAATAGGCCATTTCTCCACATTTTTTCAAAACTACTTTTATGTGACAGATGTGTTTATCTAATAATAATACATATTTCCTGCAAGACCGTTATATCTCCAACAACTCGTTAGTCTTAAAATAATGAGTGCATTCGAAAAGGCCATTTCTCCAAAAATAACTCGATCAACAATTTTATTTTAACTATTTAAACTAACACCAAAGGCGTCACAGACGCTTTAATCGCATAAAATAATAATTAACCGATTGAAATAAAAGTATAAACGTATTCGTCGGCAACGCAAAATGAGGTAACAAAAATATAAAGGTAACGCAACAATATAATTTCTCAGAGATCGAACGGACATTGACTGGACAGGGAGGACGGTTAATTTAAAAATCACATTTAAAAAGGCACACAGGTAGGGACGATTACATAATCTAAACTCACGACGAATACCAACAATGTTTGACAAAATATAATAAAATAATCACGCGACATAAAAACGGTAACACTGAAGATGACTAGCTGCTGATAGTGGCGGGAGTCGCCACAGATAGGTAGATATAATTGCTAAGATAGTAAAAACTAAAAACCTGGTAGAAGTAACGTCTGAACAAAATTTGATAATATTAAATTTCATCTATTATGTTCTTATTATCCTAGTATGTTTTCAAAAATATTAACAATTAACATCATTCAAGTACTTTATCAATTTTCTGTAACTTTATTTAATTAAATTTATTGTGTACAAAGAAATAACCTGATATAAATTTATGTTTTTGATATAATCAGATATTAAAATTTTTATAAATCGTGTAAAATAAAATATGCTTAAAATAATTGAAATTTGATTTGATTTACATATAAAAATTTAAACTTACTGAGTTTTGAATAAAAAAAAAAACTATTTTTATAATTTTAGGTTAATTTTCCTATGGAGTTCTAGAATTAACAAAATCATCAGATGTTATTTAGCTGTAAAAGTATTTGGTTTGCATTGGTGACCAGTGTAATAATATCTCTAGGTAAGCCAAAATTTCATAACCAATATGTCTTATTCTATCTTGGAGAATAATATGATTGTAATAATTTAACTGTATCACTTATTTTTGATAATTCAATGGCAATAGATATATATGGCTATATTCAATGGTGTTCATTTAGTAATGTGCGAATTCCCAACAAAATAATTACCAAAATTCCCTAAGTTAAATAAAATTAAAAATATGTCAAAAACCATGAATGCATGTGGAATTATAACATTTTTTTATGAATATTCCAAATCCCACTCCTTTTCAATATCTTTGTTAAATAATTTATATTAATTATTCTAAAATATACCTGTGGCTGATTTTCAAAAACTTATATCTTATTTTTATTAGTTATTCGGGAAAGCAAAAAAAATTAAAAATTTTTCTTGTGAAGTTTGCCATCTTTGAAGTTATTAATCAAATCTTTTTGTTTAAGTTCACTCATTGCTTTTTAGACACAAGACAGAAAACATACTTGGTCATACTAATAATAAAAATTTTAAAAATTTATTTTTGTAACTCATCATTGTTTAGATATGTGCCATAGATTGTTAAACTAAGACTCATGCAATATCTTCAAATGTATAAAATATAATGTAATTTTTTCTTTTCAGAAGCTAATAGTATCCTTCATTTTATAATTTTTATAAAAAAAAAATTGATCTCTATCCCGTTTTTTCCCCTTAATATATACTTGAGTTTTATAAATGGAAATTTATTTTATAACCAGTTTATAAATAAAAATAAATATGTAACTAAGAAAATAACTAGTTAAATGTTCCGCAAATTTTTCTTAAAAAATATTCCTAGTGGCACATCACTAGTTCCATCTATATTGATTTATTACAATCTGAAATGAACAAAATTTTTAATACTTAAAAAAAAAAACCAGTACAGTGAGATCGCGGCACAGTGGGAACGTGGCATAGTTGGGTCAGTATAGATTTAATCTGACAGTGATTAAAATCACTATCATAAGAAACGCTTCGATGCAAATCTGTAGATAATGTTTAATTCTAAGAAATTGGTGAATAATTACAAAAGCATCATCAACTATTTCCTTAATTATATCCAGATTAGTAATTCTTAGATTCAAAAATATAATATAAAATTATATGTAAACATTCAGAACTTAATAAATTTTAATGATTTACTTTAATTAAAAAAAACCAATGAAAAAAAAGTTGTTAAAAAGATCTACTCAATTGAGCGAATTATAAATTTTGATTATAATTGTAAAAATCCATTGTTAAATTCAGGTGAAACTAAAAATCATTTTTTTTTAGAAATGATTTATGTAGCAACGAGTTACAAAAAAATTCGGAATACTAAAGACTGGTAGTGGCTACCAGTAACAACAACTATTTCCTTAATTATATCCAGATTAGTAATTCTTAGATTCAAAAATATAATATAAAATTATATGTAAACATTCAGAACTTAATAAATTTTAATGATTTACTTTAATTAAAAAAAACCAATGAAAAAAAAGTTGTTAAAAAGATCTACTCAATTGAGCGAATTATAAATTTTGATTATAATTGTAAAAATCCATTGTTAAATTCAGGTGAAACTAAAATTCATTTTTTTTTAGAAATGATTTATGTAGCAACAAGTTACAAAAAAATTCGGAATACTAAAGACTGGTAGTAGCTACCAGTAACAACAACTATTTCCTTAATTATATCCAGATAAGTAATTCTTAGATTCAAATATATAAAAACCCAGCACAGGGAGGTCGCGGCACAGTGGTGACGTGGCATAGTTGGATCATGTATAATGATATCTGACAGTGATTAAAATCACTATCAAAAATAAACGCTTCGATGCAAATCTTTAGATAGTGTTTAATTTTAAAAAAATTGGTGTTTTATTCCAAAAGCTACTTGATCTGCTGGTTCCTTATTAATATCTCGATTAAGATAAAGTATGTCGAATGAAAAAGGGTTTATTAAAAAATATTATTTCTCATAAAAAAATTGTGTGGATCCATTCACTTATCAATAAGTTATAGCATTTTAAAGTAAAAAATGTAAATTATAAAATCGAGAATTTTAACACAAAAATAGCATTTGGTAACCATTTTCGCCGTGAAGACAAGTTCAGAGGTCAAATTTTTTTTTTCCATAATAATGTACATTACATTAGCTTTAATTTAAGATATATATAAAAGTGTCAGACCTACCGAAACATTTTCAAAAGTTAAGTTGAAAAAGTTAATTTTTTGTGAAAAAGTTGTCATTTTAAAACCCCCCTGTAGGCATATAAAGGGTCAGATTTACAAAAAAAAAATATACCAAATGATAAGTAAAGACATCAAGCATATATAAAAAAAAAAAAATTATATTGATATGTTCATTTTTGAAAAAGTTACGGCAATTTTTAGTAAAAAAAATTGAAAAAATTTCGAAAATTAGCGATTTTTAAATTTGTAATTTTTTTGGAGGTTTCCCCCATTTATGGGGAACGAGGGAATTTTTTTCAATTTTTAAGGGTAATGTCTTCGACTAGATACGATTTGTGATCTTTTGACGTATCGTTGAAAGAAATCCGTTCGGTGAGAGCTGAGAAAAAGTGGTAACAGACACAAAAAAAAAAACACATAGTAAAACCAATACCTTCTCAGCTTCGCATCGAAGCTAATATAAAATTATATATTATATAATTGTTATATTGTTTTGAAATTATTATTGTTATTGATTTTTAATATGTTAAAAGTAATAATTTTTAACCTTTTTTATTTCGTCCTTAAAAATGAAAGTTTATAATAAAAAAAAATGAAATTGTTAAGATTAATATGCAATCATGAAATTTTATAATTACTATTTACAGTACATTTATCAGAAAAACTCATAATTTTTTGCATTTTTATCGTAATAGAACACTTAAATAGAAATCATAGTAATCATTTCTAATTAACTTTTGGTGTTTAAAAAGATTCTACAATGGAAATATTCAGAACTTAATTAATTTTAATGATTTATTTTAACTAAAAGAACCAATAAAAAAAAGTTGTTAAAAGATTTATTCAATTGAGCGTATTATAAAATTTGATTATAATTATAAAAAATCCATCATCAAATTCAGGTGAAACAAAAAATCATTTTTTTTTTAAATTTATGATATATAGCAACATATTACAAAAAAATTTGGAATATTATAGACTGATAGTAGCACACACAAATAGAGTTCAAAAATTAATAAATTACAAAGTAAAATTATTTTCTTTTGTAGTTGAATACTTTTATCATATTAAATCTAATTCGACAATAAATACTTTAAAAATATTAGAAATGAATGATTTTAATTGTTTGTATGGAAAGAGCTGGTTAAGCTACTTTTTATTTGAATAATGAATTTTTTTTCAATTTTTAAGGGTAATAACTTAAACTAAATACATATTGTAATCATTTGACGTATCGTTGAAAAAAGTAGGTCTAGTGAGGGTTGGCAAAATAAATCGTAGTCACAAAAAAAAACCACATAGTAAAATAATATTAACATGGATATAAATTTCTTCTCACGATGGGGACTATAGTGATGGGATCCTTGATATTTATTGAAATTATTGAATCTAAATGATATAAAAATCAAATGATTTGAAAATTTTTATCTAACTCAAAAAAATGCATAGTATTATTTGCCACAGGCAGATTCGAACCTCGTACCCTTAGCGTGAAAGACACAAGTATTACCGATTCGGAAACTGTACGGTGCTTTTGTCACATGATAAAAATAGCAATTTAAGCTAATTCAAATTTAAAAATTACTTTTTCGAATTTAAAAAGGTAAAAAAATTTTAATAAGTTTAATTTCTTATGTCTTATGAACTTTATTCTATGTCAATTAAATTATATAATATTCATGAAAGTCAGTGTATTCCCCTTGTAAGATATTTTAAAATAAAATAAAATACAAAACCCAGAATTTTAACACAAAAATAGCATACTTTTGAATACGGTAGCCATTTTCACCAAGAAGGAAATGTATATTTTGAATTTTTTTTTTTTCATTGTAAAGTATATAATATAAGATAAAATAAAACTGTGAATATTTCAAAAGTTAAGTTGAAAAAGTTAGTTTTTGTAAAAAGTTGCTATTTTAAATCCCCCCCTGTGAGTAGAATAAGTGTTAGATTTTCAAAAAAAATGATGTTAAATGAAAGGAAATTACCTAAGGTTTCAATACAAAAAAATATTATTTTGATTTGTTCATTTTTGACAAAGTTATGTCAGTTTTAAGTACAAAAAACATCCCGATAGAAGGTGATTTTTATCGTAAACATTACATTTTTTTTAAATTTCGACAGCCATTTGCACATAGAAGATAAGATGTCGGGACAAATTTTTTTTTTTCATTTGATAGTATATAACATAACCTTTGATTTGATATATGTTTAAAGGACGCAGTATTTCCGGAACAATTTCAAAAGTTCAGTTGAAAAAGTTAGTTTTTGTAAAAAGTTGCTATTTTAAATACCCCCTGTGAGAATGTTAAGTGTTAGATTTTCAAAAAGATTATATTAAATAGAAGGGAAATATCTAATGTTTCAATATAAAAAAAAATTATGTTGATTTGTTCATTGTTGAAAAACTTATAGCAGTTTTAAGAAAAAAAATTGAAAAAAACTAAAAAAAATTTAGCGATTTTAAAACTTGTAATTTTTTGGAGATTTCCCCCATTTACAGGGAGCGAGGGAAATTTTTTCAATTTTTAAGATAATGTTTTCAACCAGATACGATTTGTGATATTATGATATATCGTTGAAAGTAATTGGTTCAGTGAGAGCTGAGAAAAAGTGGCAACAGACATAAAAAAAAAAACACATCATGGTAAAATTAATACCTTCTCAACTTCGCATCAAAGCTAATAAGGATTATAATTATTGACCAAATTAAAAAAAAATTAATAAATACTAATCAATTGTTGTGCCTAAATTTTATATGATAATATTACGTTTTAAAAGTACTAATATAATAATATTTAATTTATTATCTTATTCTAAATTTAGATTTTTTAATTCAGTATTTTATTAAAGAAATTAGAAAAAAAATGAATATTATGTATAGAATTCATATTAAAACTTAGAAAGCCTAAACACATTCATAAGTGTAATCTAAAGGAGCTAGAAAGCTTTGCCACTCTACCTAAATTCTGTATGACTCTCCAAAAAATATAAAAATTACAGAGTAATTTATAGAAAAATACTTTATAGAGAGTAAAAATTAAGTTAGTAGCCTAAACATGTTCAAGTTGTATAAATGGACTTAAAATAAAACATAATAATTGCATATTGAATATGTTTATTTCATTACTTTCTATCACTTTTAGTAAATTAATAGTGTTTTATTTTTTGATCCTATTTCATTATGAATTATTGTTAGTGTATAAAGAAAGTAGTTCATAAAATAAATAATTATGTTTAAATTTGTGTAACTAAAAAATAATACATAAAGTAGTTATCATTAAAATAAATTATTTTTTCAAAATTTTATGTTTTAGGTTTATTGTATTTTTCATTAAATTCACCACAAGATGAAATTAAAAGTAGTTTTCAATATAATGATAAGAATATACCGACATATGATATTCAAATACCTGATTCAAGAACACATCTCATAAATAATTTATCCAGAGAACTAGCTCTTGCAAATGAAAAAATTAAAAAGCTGGAAGAAAAAATGCAAGGATTTGATGAACGCATCAAAAAACCATATCCAAATGTCAAATATTTGAATTATCGTTCCAAAAAACGTATACTGGTATTTATTTAAATATATGGTAACAGTAACTTAAAAAATATCATATTTATGATTAAAATAATGATATTTAGGTAACTGGTGGTGCAGGCTTTGTTGGATCTCATCTTATTGATAAATTAATGAAAGCTGGTCATGATATAACTGTAGTTGATAACTTCTTTACTGGTGTCAAAGCTAATGTTGAACAATGGATTGGACATGCTAACTTTGAATTAATTCATCAAGATATTGTTAACCCATTATTTGTTGAAGTTGATGAAATTTATCATTTAGCTTCACCTGCTTCTCCTCCTCATTATATGTTTAATCCTGTCAAGACTATTAAAACAAACACTATTGGAACAATAAATATGTTAGGTAAATAATTTATGGAGAGAGCTTTAATTTACAACATTATTTCCCAACTTTAATGTAATTGAGACTATTATTAATGGTAACACGATAGAAACCAAAAAATTGCATTAAAATTAAAAATAATTGCATTTAAACTATAGTAAACATTTTTAAAATTAGCTTTTTTTCTATCCCTCATTGTTTTTAAGCTTCAATGCCATCCTGAGAAGGTATTAGTTTTATTATGATGTGTTTTTTTTTTTTTTTGTGTCTATTACCACTTTCTCAGCTCTCACCAAACCGATTTCTTTCAATGGTATGTCAAAAGATCACAAATTGTATCTAATCAAAGACATTACCCACAAAAATTGAAAAAAATTTCCCTCATTCCCCGTAAATGAGGAAAATCTCCATAAATTACTAATTTAAAAAACGATAATTTTCGAAATTTGTTCAACTTTTTAATACTGCAAAACTTTTTAAAAAATGACCAAATCAATATCATTTTTTTATAAATGCATAATGTTTTTACTTATTATTTGATATATTTTTTTTATAAATCTGACCCTTTACCTGCCCGCAGGGAGGGATTTAAAATAACTACTTTTTCATGAAAAATTAATTCATATAACTTAACTTTTGAAAATGATACGGAAATACTGACACTTTTATATATACCTTAAATTAAAACTTATATATGTAATTTTGTTCAATAATAAGTTGATCGATTCTACAATAAAGTGGTTTATTAATATTAAATTGTATAACAAATACACACATAAACAATAAACAATAAAGAATCGATAATTTAAAACTTATTACTGTATAGTCTTTAAATTATATAAAATAAAAATAATTATTAATTACTAAAAATGTTACCATAGATTTTACACCTTCAATCTATATGATAATACAAATTACAACAGTGATCACAGTGTCCCTATAAACAGTGCCGCCACTGTTATATATAATATACTTTATTTTGAAATAAATATAGTTTAAAAAAACTAAAAAACACGCTTTTAAAGTACATCGAACTAAAAAGTTAAAAATAATTTTTATAATAAGCTTAAAACAATAATATACGAAAAGTACTAGTATTATTGTGATAAAAGCGTCGGGCGCTCAATATACGAAAAATATGGCACAAAGCACCCACTTTGAAATTTTAATTAGCTTAAATAGCCATTTCTTTCAGCAGACGGTAGCGATGTACAAGGTTCCAACCCATGTATAGTAAGGAATCTTTACATTTTTTTCTTAATTACTATTATTTCTATTAAAATTATCTGTTACGATAAAAATATTGAGATATTCTGATAAATTTACTATAAAAATTATAAAATTTCCTATTTAATCATGTCAATTTCAAACTTGCAACTTATACCCAAAGTTATGGTAATAAATTATTTTTTTTTATTATAAACTTTCACAAAAATCAAAATCAGTATTAATTTAAAATAATTTTTTTTTGTTCTTAATTTTTTTATATGTAAATACTTATTGTTAACACGCTTATATTAGTTTCACCTGTATGTATGTATGTATGTATGTTTGTAACTCTCCAAACGTCACGCGTTATCGCATATTCCGTCGTCTAGACTAGACTGTTATACGCATTCACCCCTCCCCACGCCTCGCTCACAACACGACGGCACACTATTCCTATAAAAATTTATTTTTAGTTATCGTACCCGTACACGCGTGCTTGTCATCAATATTATATATATATAAACAAATTTTTATTTTGACTGACCAATACCGCCCGCGTCTAATGCGCCTTACGTATATATATTTATATATTCCTACCACCGTTTATACCTCAGGTATAACGTTAGTCCGACCCGCGCCCCACAAAATACGGTTATACCTAGTGCATGATACGTTTACGTACTTAAGTTTGCATTATTTGTATATATACAGAGTGTTCAGTAAGTCAGGAAACGGGTTTGTTTGTAACAATGAGAACACCCTATATTCTAATTACTATTAAAATTTATATATTAACACGATTTATTTTAATTAAGAGATATAAAGTATTCATTCCGATTACGATGGATGATTTCCGTATCGTCATTTTTCGTCACTACCTCCACGTTCCGGGAGTGAGTAATTTACGCGCCTGCTGCTTTCTTTGGATGTGGTAGCAGTTTCTCAGACTCCCTCCCCGGAATCGAACCCTGATTTCCCGTTACCCGTAACAACCATGATATTGATAGTAACTACTATCATAACATGAAACTAAAAAGTAAAAAATAAATATAGTTTAAAAAACTAAAAAAACACGCTTTTAAAGTACNTAACTAAAAAGTGAAAAATAAATATAGTTTAAAAAAACTAAAAAACACGCTTTTAAAGAACATCGAACTAAAAAGTTAAAAATAATTTTTAAAATAAGTTAAAAATAATTATGAACAAAAAATACTAGTATTATTGTGATAAAAGCGTGGGTGCTTCGTGTCATATTTCTCGTATATTGAGCGCCCCACGCTTTTATCACAATAATACTAGTATTTTTTGTTCATAATTATTTTAAAAATTATTTTTAACTTTTTAGTTCGATGTGCTTTAAAAGCGTGTTTTTTTAGTTTTTTAAACTATATTTATTTTTTACTTTTTAGTTTCATGTTATGATAGTAGTTACTATCAATATCATGGTTGTAACGGGTAAAGGGGAATCAGGGTTCGATTCCGGAGAGGGAGTCTGAGAAACGGCTACCACATCCAAGGAAAGCAGCAGGCGCGCAACGTGGAGGTAGTGACGTAAAATGACGATACGGGAATCATCCTTTGTAATCGGAATAAATACCCTATATATCTCTTAATGAGAATAAAGTATAAGTTTTAATAGTAATTAGAATATATATATACATGTAAAGCGACTTAAGTACGTAAACGTATCATGCACGAGGTATAGCTGTGTTTTGTTGGCGGGCGGGGCGCGAGGCATATATGGCGGCAGCGGCGTCGGTTGTAGGGATATATAAATGAATATTAACATATACGTATATATATGTATATATATATTAATATTAGCGGCGATGGTAAGAATATATAATCTTCGCATAATATCGTGGCACTTTCGTTGGCGTCGACGACGCGATGTCCGGCGTGATCCTCGGGCGTCAAAAGGTTAGCAGCGTTGATGGCGACGGTGCGCGAGTGGAGATCGGTTTATTGACGTTGCCACTTTGACAACAGGAAGAATACTACGGTATCATTAGCGGCGGTACGTCGTCGGCCGTGCGGCACTTGCTGAACTTTGCACCGCGGCGTATAACGCGCGGTGTTGGTCAGTCAAATACTCAAAATTATACANTAACTACTATCATAACATGAAACTAAAAAGTAAAAAATAAATATAGTTTAAAAAACTAAAAAAACACGCTTTTAAAGCACATCGAACTAAAAAGTTAAAAATAATTTTTAAAATAAGTTTAAAATTATTTTTAATTTTTTAGTTCGATGTGCTTTAAAAGCGTGTTTTTTTAGTTTTTTAAACTATATTTATTTTTTACTTTTTAGTTTCATGTTATGATAGTAGTTACTATCAATATCATGGTTGTTACGGGTAACGGGAAATCAGGGTTCGATTCCGGGGAGGGAGTCTGAGAAACGGCTACCACATCCAAGGAAAGCAGCAGGCGCGTAAATTACTCACTCCCGGAACGTGGAGGTAGTGACGAAAAATGACGATACGGAAATCATCCCTCGTAATCGGAATGAATACTTTATATCTCTTAATTAGAATAAATCGTGTTAATATATTAATTTTAATAGTAATTAGAATATATATATTTATACAAATAATGCGACTTAACTACGTAAAAGTATCATGCACTAAGTATAGCTGTGTTTTATGGCCGGGCGGGTCGGACTAACGTTATACCCGAGGTATAAACGGCGGTAGGAATATATATATATATACGTAAGGCGCATTAGACGCGGGCGTTATTGGTCAGTCAAAATAAAAATTTGTTTACATATATATAATATTGATGACAAGCACGCGTGTACGGGTACGATAACTAAAAATAAATTTTTATAGGAATAGTGTACCGTCGTATTGTGAGNAAATAAATATAGTTTAAAAAACTAAAAAAACACGCTTTTAAAGTACATCGAACTAAAAAGTTAAAAATAATTTTTAAAATAATTATGAACAAAAAATACTAGTATTATTGTGATAAAAGCGTCGGGCGCTCAATATACGAAAAATATGGCACAAAGCACCCACGCTTTTATCACAATAATACTAGTATTTTTTGTTCATAATTATTTTAAAAATTATTTTTAACTTTTTAGTTCGATGTACTTTAAAAGCGTGTTTTTTTAGTTTTTTAAACTATATTTATTTTAAACTATATTTTTTAATAATAAGTAATAATATTAAAACTTGAAAGTGATAGAAAAAGTTTAATTGCATATTTGAAAAACATTAAAAAAAGTACATTTTTATTTCTGATGAAAGTTCCTTGTAGTCCAGTGTATAAAACTTTTAACTTTATTATAAGTAACAAACATTATTGAAAAGTATTGTGTCAAGCTCTTTAAATTTTTATACATGTTAAAAGTAAAGAAATATACTACTTTATTATTTATAATATCTCCATGAAAATTACAATATTAAATTATTGAATATCAATTTCATACTAAATGTAATTATTTTAATTATATTTATTCATATATTATAATTATAAATCAAATAACTAATAGGGTTAGAATTAAGGGAATAAGAGTTATTGTTGCTTTTGAAATAATCTACTGATTTCTTAAAGTTATACATTATTTACAGATTTGCATCGAACTGTTTTTATGATAGTGATTTTAATCATTCCGTGATATCATTTATACTTTTTCAAATACTATATCATGTCCATTCTATGCCGTAATTTTACTTTACTATCGTTTTTTATATTTTTCTGCGTGATGTAATTTCTATGTTGAAATAATAATATTAATCAATCAAATTTATGTTGAATAGAAAATTGTATTTGTATTTTAACTAACATGTTAGTTATAAATATTTTCAGTGAGAAATTTTGCAGCTTTCAATGTCAATCCAATAAGTATTTATTTATCTATTAATTGCAAATGATAAAATCCAATTCCAATTTCATAACTAAAGTAACAATAAACTAATGAAAGTCAGAATAATTGAATTAAAAAAATTAACCTTTTTTTTTTTTTTTTTTTTTTTGTACAATATTTTTATATTAACAATTTTATTTATTTATTTATTTTATTTAATCAACAAATTAAAGTATAATACAATATTCAAATAGGCTTAATTAATAATAAATAGTTTAATGAAATGAATTAATTAGAACCAGACATTGTGATAGCAACAAAGTAAGAAAAATAAAATAAAAACAGTAAAAATTGTGCTAAGTAAAAGTGGGCAAAGCTAGTTATTAAGTAGAAAGCCTATTCTATGTAGACTCTACATATTCTAAATTGTTGAGAATTATTGTGATTATAAAAAGTGTTATGTGATGTTACAGTATAGAGTGTTCTTTCTGGTAGGATAACTAGAGACATAGAATGAAATGGAAAATAAAAGGTCAGGGGTATCAATATATCCTCTAATGAGCGAAGTAACAAAAGAAAGTTTTGCATTAACTCATCTGGTGTCTATGGTAGGTATATTAAGGGAAGAACAGACAAGGAAACAGTCATGAAAGGAATGAGAAATTTTTAGAACAAAGGCAGCATAGAAAATAAAGTGACTTTGAACTCATGAATGTTGGAGTTTGTCACATGCCAAATGTGGAATGTCACAAAACAACTCAATATTCTATAGTAGAACAAACCAATGCGAAAAAATTTCGCTATAAAAAGACTAGCACATATAATTTTGATACAAATTTATCATAGAAGTAACAAAATATAAAACTACTTAACAGATATTTTCTCTGTAAAATTTACAATATTATAATTTGTTTTTGTTATAGTTATAACTTTGGCTACTATGGCCATTAACCATAATACTAAGTTATTGAATATCAATTGCATACTAAATTTAGTTGCTATACTAAGTATTTATACCTGTATTACATTTACATTAATAAACTATAGGTCTCGCCAAACGAGTAGGTGCCAAAGTGTTAATAGCTAGTACCTCTGAAGTGTATGGTGACCCTGAAGTACATCCACAACATGAAACTTACTGGGGTCATGTAAACCCTATTGGTAAAAAAAAAGATTTTTTTGCATTAATATGTAAAGGAGTCAGAATCAAAGTAATAACTAATAACTTTGTTACGCCTTTTATTTCATCGATAGAAGTGTTATTATATGATACAAGTGGTAGCAATTAATAAAAATGGTTCTGATAAAATACATTCATAAAAGTGTTATCACAAATAATTATTCCTTTTGTTTAATAAAATTAGTATATTTTTAAAATGTTAGTTATCATCTTTGTCCACTGATCTCTTATCTTACTTGTGATATGACAAACTATCAGAAATCTTAAATTTGGGATATTTTTTTTATATTTATTTATATGTACATTTTAGTAGAAAATCTACATTTAAAGTCAGATGTTGTCATATTACTAATATTTTATAATAATTCCATTGAAAATAATCTAAAGTACTTACTAAAAATAGGACCACGTGCGTGTTATGATGAAGGTAAAAGAGTTTCTGAAACTCTTAGTTATGCCTATGCTAAACATGAAAAAGTTTCTGTGAGAGTTGCCCGAATTTTCAACACATATGGACCACGTATGCACATGGATGATGGCCGTGTAGTGTCCAACTTCATCGTTCAAGCTCTCCGAAATGAATCAATTACAGTAAGAACACATTTTTAAAAACTTATTAAAAATACTAATTTTTTCAAAAATATAAACAAAATCATTATTTGAAATAAATACTAATAAATAAATAACGAATAATAAATGGTTTTATAGGTTTATGGTTGTGGTAATCAAACACGATCATTTCAATTTGTATCTGATCTTGTTGATGGCCTGATATCATTAATGGAATCTAATTATACACAACCGGTTAATCTTGGTAATCCAACGGAACACACAATTAATGGTATAATTTATACTTCTTTAGTTATTTAAAAAAATTATGATTGTTAGAGAATTTTTTTTTTTAATATGTAACAAAATTAAATTTATGATTTCGTTAAATGTTAATGACAAGTGTATTCAGCTATGATAGTAAAATCTCAAATTAAATTAATTTTAGAATTGAAAAATAAATTCATTCTAAATAATAACTTTCTGGTCTGTATTTGTTGACGTTGCTGTCTTTTTGTTAGCAGACGGTTCACCAAATGTCCCGTTGTGTCGCATTGCGACTTTCAAGTTTGACGATTCTTCTGCAAAGTTCACGCTCTTGTTTCAACAGGTTGTCCGTATGATTCCTGTTCGTCCTAAGTTCGTTATTTTGTGATATTTGTATGTTTTTATCCATGTAGAGAAATTAAGATCCATCACAGCAGAGCTCGATACTATGATAAGGCTGTATACTCTATGGTGCGCCAGGTGCCATAGAGGAGGATCCCAATGGTCATTTTACCTTTTGGCTAACCACTTTGTGACAAGTTAGGAAGCCTTTTACTTGATATTGCTGGGTTAGGGGACCTATTCGCTGTTAGCAAGCAGATATGCGAGGCCTACCAGTCCCAACTAATCAATGTCAAACCGGTTAAAAGTAGTGGTACATATAACAACTAGGGTCCGCGGGGTTATTAAGCCCGTGATCCTTACGGATCCTCATGCGAGATCGAGTGTAATGTAAATGTTATATATTTTTAGTCCAAGGGGTAAAATGTATTTCTGAAATTAGGGGTTCTTAAGTTTTTGTTTTCGTTGTGATAGCCCGTTGACGTTTCAAACTATAATTCGCAATTTACTATTCATTTCTTATTTTAGCTTCGATGCGAAACTGAGAAAGTATTAATTTTACTATGATATGTTTTTTTTTTATTTTATTATTTTTTTTTTTTGTGTGTCTGTGAACGTTCAATCTCAGCTCTTGCTGGGCCGATTTTGATGAAGAATATGTCAAAAGATCCCAAATCGTATCTAGTCGAAGACGTTACCCTTAAAAATTGAAAAAAATTCCCTCGTTCCCCGTAAATGGGGAAAATCCCCCAACAAATTACAAATTTAAAATTCGCTAATTTATTCAATTTTTTTATTTAAAACTGCTATAACTTTTTTTAAAATGACCGAATCAATATAATTTTTTTTTATAGATACCTTAGGTATTTACCTATCATTTTATATATTTTTGTGAACATTTGACCCTTTACCAGCCCACAGGAAAGGGTTTCAAAATGATAACATTTTTACAAAAAATTAACTTTTTCAACTTAACTTTTGAAAATGTTCCGGCAAGACTGACACTTTTATATATACCTTAAATTAAAGCTTATGTAATATAATTTTTTTTTGAAAAAAAAAAATTGACCTCTAAGGACTTGTCTTCATTGTAAAAATGACTACCGTAATTCAAAAATATGCTATTTTTGTGTTAAAATTCTGGGTTTTGTATTTTATTTTAAAATACCTGACAAGGGGAGTACACTGATTTTCAGAAATATTATATAAATTAAATTGATATAGCATAGAAGTTTAAATTTATTTAAATTTTTTTGTTTTTTGAAGTCGAGAAAAATAACTTTGAAATTTAAATTAGCTTAAATAGCCATTTTGTTCAGGCGACGGTAGTGATGTATAGTTGCAGTATCTGTAAAACTTAAGTCTTACGCGATTGGGGTACAAGGTTCCAACCCGCGTATGGCAAGGAATTTTTTGCATTTTTTCTTAATTCTTTTAAGTTAAAATAAATATTCAACTCTATCCTATCACTGTAGTCGCCAATTGCGAGAATAAATTTCTTATTCATATTAAAATTATTTTACTATATTTTAAGTTTTAGCTTCGATGCAAAGCTGAGAATATATTTTTTTGTGACTATCATTCATTTTCTCTGCTCTAACTTGACTTACTTTTTTCAACCATACGGTAAATGATTACAATTCCTATATAGTTGAAGATATTATCCTTAAAAATTGAAACAAAATTCCTTATTCAAATAAAAAGTAGCTTAACCAGCTTTTGCCATACAAACAATTAAAATCATTCATTTCTAATATTTTTAAAGTATTTATTGTCGAATTAGATTTAATATGATAAAAGTATTCAACTACAAAAGAAAATAATTTTACTTTGTAATTTATTAATTTTTGAACTCTATTTGTGTGTGCTACTATCAGTCTATAATATTCCAAATTTTTTTGTGACATGTTGCTATATAAATCATAAATTAAAAAAAAAAAAAATGATTTTTCGATTCATCTGAATTAACAATGTATTTTTATAATTATAATCAAATGTTATTATACGCTCAATTCAGTAAATCTTTTTACAACTTTTTGATTGGTTTTTTTTAGTTAATGTAAATTATTAAAATTAATTAAGTTCATATTTCAATTGCAGAATCTTTTCAAACACCAAAAGTTACTAGGAAATTATTACTATTACTTCTATTTAAGTTATCTATTACGATAACAATGCAAAAAAATATTGAGCTTTTCTGATAAATTTACAATAAACGGTAATTATAAAACTTTCTGAATGCATATTAATCTTAACGATACAATTTTTTTTAATTCTCATAAAATTTTCTATTTAATGATGTCAATTTCAAACTTGCAAATTGAGATAAAAGTTATGGTAATAAATTAATTTCTTTTTATTATATACTTTCACAAAAATCAACTTTTNCTTGCAAATTGAGATAAAAGTTATGGTAATAAATTAATTTCTTTTTATTATATACTTTCACAAAAATCAACTTTTAAGGATTAAAAAAATAGGTTAAATATGTCATTTTCCTTATTTTTAACATATTAATAATCAAAATCAGTATTAATTTAAAACAATTTTTTTTGTTTTTAATTATTTTTTTTTTTATGTAAATACTTATTTTTAAATATTAAGTAATTATATTATAACTTAGAAGTAATAAAAAAAGTTTAATTGAATATTTGAAAATATTGCGATAAGTAGATTTAGAAAAGTATATTTTTGTTTTTGATGAAAGTTCCTTGTAGTCCAGTGTATAAATCTTATAACTTTATTATAAGTAACAAACATTTTTTATTGAAAACTATTCCATCAAGCCCTTTAAATTTTTATAAGCTTTTAAAGTAAAAAAATATACAACTACTTTATTATTTTTACAATATCTCCGTGAAAATTACAATATTAAATTATTGAATATCAATTTCATNTGTATACATGTGAATTACATTGAATATCAATTTCATACTAAATTTAATTATTATAATTATTATTTATTCATATATTATAATTAGAAGTCAAATAATTAATCGAGATAAAATTAAGGGAATAAGAGTTATTGTTGCTTTTGAAATAATCTACCGATTTCTTAAAATTAAACACTATCTAAAGATTTGGATCGAAACGTTTCTTATGATTGTGATTTTAATCACTCCCAGATATCTATACTTGTTCATATACCTCGTTCATACTTTGCCGCGACCCTATTGTGCTATTGTTTTTTAACACGCTTATATTAGTTTCACGTGTATGTTTGTTTGTAACTCTTTACGGGCCACGTGTTAATATTCTCGAGTATCCCGTCGTCTATGACCTTGAGACTAGACTGTCGTAACGCATTCACCCCACCCCGCTCACCACTCTCCGGAACTCTATTCCTGTTATATTTTATATAATATACAGGGTATTCAGTAAGTCAGGAAACGGGTTTCTATTGTTCTCATTGTTACAAACAATGAGAACAATAGAAACCCGTTTCCTGACTTACTGAATACTCTGTATATATTTTGTTATAATTTTATTTTTTGGTTTTCGTACCCATATATATGTGCGTATCATCAATATTATATTTTAATATAAACAAATTTTTATTGTTTATTATTAGTTATAAACATTTAAAGATTCAAATTTTTTTGAGTTAATATTCATGTATAATACATAAGGGATTACAACCACAGGTAACTAATTGGTTTTTTATGACGATATTAGGAAGCATATATCCTTTATTATCAATGATAATAAGACAGATTGTTGTGAGTTAATAAACACACTAACTGGCAATACAGAAATTATATCTATTGATAGTGATAATTGACAATAAACACTCCGTGACTGTAACAGCGAATCATAAAAACTAAAAAGTTAAAAATAATTTGTTTTTTGACTATTTTTGTCATTAGAATTTAATTTTTTCTATTTTGGATGTGAGTGTTTTCACTTGTATAATAGCCTTTTTCTGCTAATTTTAACCCTTTAATTACAACACGACATTTTTTTTAACTGATATCTGTGATACTCATTTTTTTTTTTTTCATAATTTTAATATTGCCGTTAAATAGTTTTTAACTGTTGTTTATGACCAATGACTTTTTCGAGAGTTACACCCAAAATTATGTTGATATTGATATGTTTACATCAGAAGCAGATATTTATTTATAAATTTTTGGAGCCAGTTTGAATAAATATTTTATATTATTTTCATTTTTTTTTTTTTTTTGTGGACTAATAAAGCATCTATGCTATAGCCCGATTTATTGTCAATAATATTTTCATTACTATTTCGTATTTGACTTTATGCTGATTAACTTGTTAAGTTGTCAACTGTTCAATGCTCGCTTGGAGTTCTACTACCATTTTTCTTAACGATTCATTTTCGCTTTGTAATTGATTCAAAATACTTTGATCGCTTATAATTTAGTTTTGCTGAATAATTATACAGTAGAACTTCATTAATCCGGACTTCGCTTAATCCGGACAGCTGTCTAATAATACGAAAAATACCCAGTTTATGCCGTAGACTAAAATAAACATAAAGGCAAGTTCCTCGAATTTCCCATAAGTAGATATATTCTTATCTACCGTCATTAAAGTTATCATAAACTATGTATTAGTAATTTATATTTTGATCATTATTATATATATATACATAATTCTATTCACATTAAATATGTAATGTTTTTGCTGGACCTAATATCATGTTGCAATATGTATATATTATATCATATATAGTATTTAGTATAATATAATATTCTTAAATCTATAATACGGACATGTTTTTTGGTTATTTTGTTTAATCCGGACTTTCATTAAATCAGACAATCTAGAGCCCTTATTAGTCCGTATTAATGAGGTTCTACTGTATTTTTAAACCGAATTTATTGTTGACAAAAAAACGGCGGCACGAGACGTCGCACGCAATATGAACTAAAACTATGTTAATACACATGATACTTATTTGTAGTAAGCGAAATGATTTTCCGTTACATAATATTTGTTAAATAGTACGCGTAAATTCGACACTTAACAAGGAAGATACGTATTGCTTTCAACAAATAAATCGTTTTGTAATTTGAACTAATTTTAGCTTCGATGCGAAGCTGAGAAGGTATTGGTTTTACTAAGATGTGTTTTTTTTTGTGTCTGTTACCACTTTTTCTCAGCTCTCACCGAACCGATTTCTTTCAATGATACGTTAAAAGATCACAAATCGTATCTAGTCGAAGACAATACCCTTAAAAATTGAAAAAAATTCCCTCGTTCCCCCTAAATGGGGGAAACCTCCAAAAAAATTACAAATTTAAAAATCGCTAATTTTCGAAATTTTCGAAATTTTTTTTACTTAAAAGTGCCATAACTTTTTCAAAAATGAACATATCAATATAATTCTTTTTTATATATATATGCATAATATCATTACCTTTCATTTTGTATATTTTTTTCATAAATTTAACCCTTAACCTACACACAAGGGGGGATTTAAAATGATAACTTTTTCACAAAAAATTAACTTTTTCAACTTAATTTTTGAAAATGTTCCGGAAGGTCTGACACTTTTATATATATCTTAAATTAAAGCTAATGTAATTTACTTTATTATGCGAAAAAAAAATTTCGGACTTTATTTTATCTTCACGGTGAAAATGGCTACCGAATGCTATTTTTGTGTGAAAATTTTCGATTTTGTATTTTACATTTTTAACTTTATTATGCTATAACTTTTTGAAAAATGTATGGATCAGTACAATTTTATCACGGGTAGTAGTATTTATATACATCTTTCATTTGACATACTGTTTTTTTAAATCGGACCATTTCCCTATATACGAGAGCGGTTCAAATCTAAAAAATGCTAATGTAATATACTTTATTATGCAAAAAAAAAATTTCGGACTTTATCTTCATGGTTATCTTCATGGTGAAAACAGACATCAAACTTTATCAAACATGATGTCTTTACCTATCATTTGGTATATTTTTTTTATAAATCTGACTTTTTACCTGCTTAAAGGGGGGGATTTAAAATGACAACTTTTTCACAAAAAATTTACTTTTTCAACTTAAATTTTGAAAGTGTTCCGGAAAGTCTGACACTTTTATATATATCTTAAATTAAAGCTAATGTAATTTACTTTATTATGCGAAAAAAAAATTTCGGACTTTATTTTATCTTCACGGTGAAAATGGCTACCAAATGCTATTATTGTGTGAAAATTCTCGATTTTATTTTTTACATTTTTAACTTTATAATGCTATGACATATTGAAAAGTGTATGGATCAACATTATTTTTTTATGAGAAATAATATTTTTTAATAATCCCTTTTTCATTCTACATACTTTATCTTAATTAGGATATTAATAATGAACTAGCAGATCATGTAGCTTTTGGAATAGTATACCAATTTTTTAAAATTAAACACTATCTAAAGATTTGCATCGAAGGGTTTTTTTTTGATAGTGATTTTAATCACTGTCAGATATCATTATACTTGATCCATCTATACCACGTCACCTCTGTGCCGCGACCCCCCTGTGCTGAGTTTTTATAACTGCAGTAACAAAATGAAAAATTTTTATTTTAATTGCTTTAGTTTATTCTGCTATATAGTTTTTTAACGTTAGATTTTTTTTCTAGTGTTAAAAGACATATTTTAGTATTACATTTTATTAAAACTATATTTTAAAACTATTTACAATAGTTGAGTCAAGAAATATAACAGACAAAAATAATATTTTATTTTTGTTAATATATATATATTATTAGCATTTAATTTAGTAAAAATTGTACTAAATAAGTTATATTTAGTCAATAATAAGGTTTTTAATTGTCCTGAACTGATTAAAAATATAAATTGATTGGTCACTTTATGTCACATGCTTAGGTTATCTAACAATATAAATTTTGATAGTAAATTTAAATTTCGTCTTTCATACCAATGTTATATATTTATTTTAAATTGAAATAATTAAATATTTATTATTGTACTATTGTAATCAAAGTCTGATAATTTTTCATATATTTTTAGTTATTAGTAATTATCCCATAAGCTTATGTTTGATTTTATTGCCTTTTAAACGTAATAATATTAATAATAAAAATGTATTTAAAGAATTTGCTATCATCATTAAAGATTTAGTTGGAGGAAAAAGCAAAATAATAACTACTCCAGCAGTTGAAGATGATCCACAAAGGAGAAAACCAGATATAACTAGAGCTATGACTTATCTAAATTGGAAACCTAGGGTAAAATGTAATATTTGTTATTACATAGGATAAATATATATATATATATAGAATAATAAATATTTTTCTATATATTATAACTATCTTTAATTTATATTATATTCATTATTGCTTCTTGAATTATATTTAATAAAATTAAAATTAAAACTACAATAAAAATATTATTAATTAAAAAAAAATATTTAACTCAAAAAACCACAAAAAAGTTACTAAAAAATCGCGGACATGTATTTCGGGAACAATATTACCATTATCAACGCTAAAAACATACAGAATGTGTTTAGCGTTGATAATGGTAATATATTTTTTTTAGTTTTTAATTAAAAATATATTTATTTAATAGTGTTTTAATTTTAAATAATATTAGCCACAAGTGATAAATTTTTTTTGTATAATTAATAAATGCTACTTAATTAAAACTAGCTGCTGCTAATATTAAATAAATGCTTCTATAATTGTAAATGAATAATTGTTTATTGATTAATAATTGACAAATATTTTTGTAAAATATTTTTTAGACTATTGTATAATCAAAAAAATTAATTTAAGAGTTATTAAATTATATGTATACATGTGAATTACACATATTTTTTGATTTTTAGGTTGGATTAAAAGAAGGTTTGAAAATTACTATTGGCCATTTTAGAAAAGAATTGAGAAAATCACAAAATAAATTTAAATAAGAAAAAAATTTAATAAAATGAGGAAGCAAATCATAATTATTTTTAAATGTTTTAATTGTCTGTGATTTAATTAGTTGTTCAATTTATATTGTTTTATATGATTTAAATTTAATTGTTATTACGTGTTATTTATTTTATTTAAATAATGTAGATAGGAAGATTATATTAAAAATGAACTTATTAATAAACTCTTAATATTTTTTTAAATTATAATAATTTATTTTACTATTAATGTTAATTTTAGCTCGATGCGAAGCTGAAATAAAGCAACTTTTTTAAAAATCTAACTTTTTCAACTTAATTTTTGAAAATATTACGGAATTACTGCGTCCTTAAAACATATATCAAATTAAAGCTTATTTTATGTACTAGAAAATGATAAAAAAAAATTTGTCCCGACACTATCTTTTGCATGCAAACGCTGCCGTAGTTGAAAAAATGCTATTTTTGTGTTAAAATTTTCGATTTTCAATTTTAAATTTTCAACTTTAAAATGCTATAATTTTTCGAAAAATGTATGTATCATCACAAATTTTTTTTTCTAAATACATTATAAGTACACCTTTCATTTGACATACATTTTATTAAAATTGGACAACTTCCCTATATATAGGGCGCGTTCAAAACATGAAAAATTGTATAAAAAGTAAAACTTTTTCAACTTAACTTTTGAAAATGTTCCGGAAATACTGATACTTTTATATGTATTTTAAATTAAAGCTTATGTAATATACTTTATTATGAAAAAAAAATTTGTCCCGACATCTTATAGACTATGAGTAAATTGCCACCGAAAATATAATATTTGTTTTGATGTGTTTTTTTTTAGCTTCGATGCGAAGCTGAGAAGGTATTAATTTTACCATGATGTGTTTATTTTTTTTTTTATTTTTTTATTTTTTTTTTTGTGTCTGTCACTACTTTTTCTCAGCTCTCACTGGACCGATTTCTTTTAACAATACGTCAAAAGATCACAAATTGTATCTAGTTGAAGACATTACCCTTAAAAATTTAAAAATTTTCCCTCGTTCCCCGCAAATGGGGGAAATATCCAAAAAAATTACAAATTTAAAAATCGACAAATTTTGTCATTTTTTTCACTTTTTTTTCTTAAAACTTCCATAACTTTTTCAAAAATCAACAAATCAA